ATGTAAAACTTTGGCGCTGAGTTAAATGTCATCTCAAATGTCTAGTCTGGTTCGGGGAATCGTTGTTCTGTTGTTTTGTCTATTTATTTGATAAGCAACAGCTGAACAAGTCACATCTTTCGAAATAAATACAAAACCAAATGCAGAAAAAAAAATTAATATAGCAAGTAAACAAAATATCAGAAATATTTCGAATAGTTGCCGCGAGGTATTCGATTCGACGACATTGTTTGCACAGGCTGCATAACTACAAGCAATCAAATACAATCGTGTAATTCGATCTACAGGTGAGCTGCGAACGCGCACTTCACGCGCCATGCCGTGGCACAGTACAGTGGGGCCCCATTATAGATAATCGATGTACAAATTGAGGGATCGCCCATTCTCTCTCTCTCTCTCTCTCTCACTCATTCGCTCTGAAGTGCGCAAGAATTGCCAAAGTCAATGAGATAGAGACCCAAACACCAAATTAAACAACGATGACAACTCCGATACCAGGCTGATATGATGTCCATATGTCTATGTGGGTGAGGGTGTGGGTGTGGGTGTACGTTGTCATTGTCAGAGATATGAGACGTCTTTATCTAGGCCACTTTCTATTTGTGGACTGACAGTCGCTGAGCAACTGATCTTGATGTGGATTACGAGCCACTTGAGCAAAGTCAAACTTGCGAATGCTGAACGCTAATCGTTAATCGATAATCGTTAATCGTTATCGCCCTTTCTTTCACAGGCTCTAACGGCGACGACTACGATCCGAGCGTCGTGCGCCACCATCATCATCATCATCATCATTTGGATCTCAGCAGTGGAGCGCCGCCCTTTGGTCCGCTGCCGCCGGCGCACTTGACCTCCAGCCAGGCTCGGCCCGAGGAGACGTTCGGTCGCCATCTGCCGCCAACGATATCCCCGCCCCCTGCGGCGCTGCTTCAGCAGCCCTCGCAGTCGGCGTCGCAGTCGCAGTCCCTTCAGCAGCAGCCATCGCTGCCGCCGCCGCCGCATTTAGCATTGCATTTGCAGCAACAGCGATTGCAACGCTCGCCGCCCGCTTCAGTCTCTGCCTCGATCTCTGCCTCCGGCTCTGGCTCCGGCTCCGGCTCCGGTTCTGGTTCCGGCTCTGGTTCCGCCAGCGGCACCAACATGGAGCACCTCTTCAGCGACAAGACGCAGGAGTTTCTAATGCAGATGGCGCGCCTGCGCGACCCCTTTTGTGATATGGACATTCGTGATAATGGCGTCTATGCCAAGACCGATTTACCACGCGACTCCCGCTACGGACCCTTTCCCATGCACCTGTGCCAGCAGCCCAGCGATCGCCACTTGGCCTGGGAGGTGAGTAAACTAATTGATTAGATTATAGATTTACTCACATGAACTTTCCCAAATCTATTAAGAATTCAATTTGATACAGTATAGTAGTTTCTACTTCAAAATTTTTTGCTGTGGCTACTTTTGCTTAATGAAATATAGAAGTCTAAACGAAATTTCGGCCATTTAAAATTTATTAGAGAGCTTTATTGGAGTCGGTTTTATATAGCCTCATTAAGTACTTTAGTCATTTTTTAGTCTAAATAAAAGATATCAAAATCAATATCATCTGCCAATACATCAATAAATAATTCTCTATATTTATAGCTATAAATGATACTACTATCTGATTTTAATTTTAGTGTTTCCTTTTTGAGATTATAACACTATGCTAGAGAACTTCTTCAGTCCATTATAACAATTACCAAAAACACTTCAATTGAGATATCAAAGGAATCTAGTTCTTAGAATTTATCAGCCTTATCGTTAACTGGAAACAATAAAAGATAGTATTATCATCTCGACGACCATTAGGCATGACGTGGTTGAATTTTTAAACTTTGGACTAGATGATCAAAATTGTCAAGGAAATTGATAATATTGATAGCTGCATAAGTTTCTATTCTAATCATATATTTTTATATAGTCTGTTGCTGTATTTCTTATATGCTCTGAGTGTTCCATTGATTCCTAAATTTTCTCTACCCTTAACACAAATAAAAAACCGCAAATTGAAACATTTTGTTCAGCTCGTGACATTGTTATAGATACCATATATAATATATACTTCTCTCTCCCTCTCTCACTAATATATATATGTTCATCATAATCCTTTCGCATATGTGCGAATTTTCGGTCTGCAAATCGTCTCCAATTTCCGCTTCCTTTTTTTCCACACGGGAAATTTAATCCCATCAAAGCTGCGCGCGAAATTTTTATGCGAAAATTGCCCAAAAATTGTGCGATATTTATTTTTTTTCGTTGGGAAAATCAAACGATTGGAAAAAGATTTGATTAACAGTGGCTCTTGCTCTGGTTCAATTTCTGTGTCTGGGCTACGCTCAATTGTCAGTCAAATGTGCCTAATCCTTGGCCAGAGCTAATTTTGTGAGTCTCACCGGGCCATCCACAAAGTGCGCCCTAAATGAGGCTTAAGTTGAGGCTCGGCCTGATGATTCCAATTAGTTTGGGACGCGAACCCTTCGATTGCTTGTCAGTCAGTCGGTCCGACTGTCGGTCAACTGACACTTTTGCAGGCAGACAAACTGACAGACAATCCAATCAAATTATCGCGCCTCGAGCCTGTTGACAATTGTCAGAGGGAATCTGAGGACCCTACCCTAGGCTCTCTCTCTCTCTCTCTCTCTCTCTTTCTGTCTCAGGTATTGCAACAATAATATTATTGTTGTTGCTGCTGCTGGCACTCGAGCCAAAACGACAGTTGGCAGTGGCAAAATTGGCAAAAGGACACGTTGACAGACAGTCCTTGCGTTGATCCCTTCCTTTTCATATATGTATATATATATATATATATATATTTTTTTTTTTTTGCTCACTGGATGATCCTCAAATCAAGCGCACTTTTCCCTCTCCCTCTCTCTCTCTCCCGTTCACATTTCCGTTTTGACAGATACATTGGCCGTATCTGTAGCTGTATCTTTAGCTGTGTTTCTGTATCTATGGCAATTTGAAGCCCCTGAAGCCGTGGTGTGAACCCAACACTTTGAAGAGATTATCTCTGGCGCGTAAATATTTTTCTTGCCCATTGACTGTGCCATGTTTTTGTACGCATTTTGTGGCCTCTTTTTCATTTTTCATACTTTTTTTTTTTTTAATAAAGTTATGAATAGCTACAAACGGTAGCAGGACACGTTTTTTCCTTTGGCTCTGTCACATGTGCCGGCTTGCAGCAGGGATTAGCTCACAGCAATAACAACTAAGACAACTACAACTATAACAACTACAACAACAACGACAACTACAACTTCTCATATGACTGCACAGCCGTCGCAATCTTTGGCTTGTTGCTTAGTTGCTTTAGTCCTGTTATCTATCTATTGGATATCCTTCTGATCTTATCTACTGCTGGCGACCAACTCATATTGCGATTTCCGCTCCGAGGGAGCTGAGGCTAATCTCTGTTTATTGCCGATATCTGACAGAGCTGCGATTAGCTCATGTTTTGCCGTTGTGGCATCAAATAAAAAACCGATTTATAATGGAAGCATACGAGTGCAAAGATTTGTAAATGTTTTAGCTCTAAAAACCTGAACTTAAGCAGAAATTTTTGCTTACCTTTCAGATTCGTTATCGGGCTTCAATCATTCCTTGTATAACTTTTCTACTGATTTTATTTCACATTCGTATTTTCCACCGAACTTTAAGA